AAAAAAAAAAAGGAATTTGAGAGAAGAATATAGTGTAGCTAAAAATAAAAATAAAAATAAAACTACCTGTCAAATCTGGACAGGAGGGCCTCTCAGGCCTTTTATTGTCAGCAATTCATTACAGTATTATACAGGGAACCATGTAGCAGCCACGTCTGTGTTCTAGCCTCCAGTGAGGGAAGACGTGTGATCGGGCGGCCTAACTCAGTTGGTGAGGCACTCAAGTGGTATTCAGGAGGTCTTGGGTTCAATCCTACTGGCGTCAGATTCCTTCCTGGGCGTGCTTGGGTCCCAGCACCTAGAGATAGCGGGTTGGCCCCCCCCCCAATAAGTGGTATTCAGGCGGTCTTGGGTTCAATTCTACTGGCGTCAGATTCTTTCCTGGGCCATGCTTGGGTCCCAGCACCTAGAGATAGCCTGTTGGTCCCCCCCCCCAATAGCCATTGAGCAGCAGGGGAAGGGGATCCGGAGGGGAAATAGCCGGTTGGCCCCCCCCCCAATAGGCATGGAGCAGTATGGGAAGGGGTCCGGAGGGGAGATAGCCGGTTGGTTCCTCCCCAATAGGCATGCAGCAGTAGGGGAAGGGGTCCGGAGGGGAGGCGGGATCCGTGCAGTTGACATGGCCCCTGACGCTGCCGGCTGACCAACTGCAGCCCCCCGGGTGCAGACCCCAGATGCCTGCGATTCTTTTCTGTGAGCTCACAGGTCCAGAAAAGGAAAAAGATTGCCTGCACCCTTATAGAGGTGCTGGCAAATCGCTCAACCCCACGGCCCTGCAGGCCGCTGACATTTGCCGCACTTATTGCGAATTTGATTTGATGGGTGGGCGGGAAAAGTGTGACGGCAAAACCAAAACCATAGCGAGTGTTGCAATTTTGCAACTTTGTCATAAAAGCCCCTTTTGTGAGTACGCCCGAAGAAGAAAAAAACATTTTTTCTTTTAGAGGGTCTCAAATCCCCTTCTTTTTCTTCAGTCATTTCTTTCTTCTTCCTCTTTCTTTCTTTTTTTATTATTTATTTTTTGTTTTTTCCTCTTCGAGGAACAAAGCATTTTTTTCAAATCGCGTTTCCTATTTAGGTGAAGAGGTCCACCTGGCAGCTTCTCTGCTTTCTTTTTTTTTTTTTTTTTTTCCTTTTCGCTGAAGTAGGG